ACTCCTGTGAGTTAAAAGAACATGTTCTAACCCAATGCAAAGAAACTAAGAACTTTGAAAAAAGGTTTGACAAAATGCTAATGAGAGTAGACAATTTAAAGAGGAATATAAGTGAATTAATGGAGCTGAAAAACACAACACGAGAACTTTGCAAAGTATGCACAAGTTTTAACAGCCAAAATGATCAAGCAGAAGAAAGGATATCAGAGGTCGAAGACCAATTTAATGAAATAAAACAAGAAGACTAGAGAAAAAAGGATAAAAAGGAACGAGCAAAGTCTCCATGAAATATGGGACTATGTGAAAAGACCTAATCTACGTTTGATAGGTGTACCTAATGTGACGAAGAGAATCAATCCAAGCTGGAAAATACGCTTCAGGATATTATTCAGGAAAACTTTCCCAACCTAGCAAGGCAGTACAATATTCAACTCCAGGTAATACAGAGAACACCACAAAGATACTCCTCAAGAAGACCAACCTCAAGGCACATAATCGTCAGATTCACCAGGGTTGAAATGAAGGAGAAAATACTGAGGGCAGCCAGAGAAAAAGGTCAGGTTACCCACAAAGGGAAGGCTATCAGACTCACAGCAGAAGCCCTACAAGCTAGAAGAGAGTGGGGGCCAATATTCAACATCCTTAAAGAAAAGAACTTTCAACCCAGAATTTTACATCCAGCCAAACTAAGCTTCATAAGCGAAGGAAAAGTAAAATTTTTGTGAACAAGCAAGTACTCAGATTTCATCCCCACCGGGCCTGCTTTACAAGAGCTTCTGAAAGAACCACTACACATAGAAAGGAACAACCAGTATCAGCCTTTCCAAAAATATACCAAAAAGTAAAGAGCATCAACATAATGAAGAATTTACATCAACTAATGGGCAAAACAGCCAGCTAACATCAAATGGCAGTATTAAACTAATATATATTATTATTAATCCTAAATTTAAATCGACTAAATCCCCCAATCAAAAGACACAGCCAAAACCCATCAGTATGCTGCATCCAGACCCATCTCACATGCAAGGATACAAAAAGACTCAAAACAAAGGGATGAAGAAAGATTTACCACCAAATGGAGAGCAAAAATAAATAAATAAAAAGCAGGAGTTGCAATTCTCACCTCTGATAAAATAGACTTCAAAGCAACAAAGATCAAAAGAGGCAAAGAAGGAGATTACATAACGGTAAAAGCATCAATGCAACAAGAAGAGCTAACGATCCTAAATATATACGCACCCAATACAGGAACATCCAGATACATAAGACTTATAAAGAGACTTAAGACTCCCACACAATAATAGTGGGAGACTTCAACATCAATATTAGACAGATCAACGAGACAGAAAATTAACAAGGATATCCAGGACTTGAACTCAGATCCGGAACAAGTAAACTTAATAAACATTTATAGAACTCTCCACTTTAAATACACAGAATATACACTTTTATCAGTACCACATCACACCTACTTACAGGTTTAAATGAAATATTGGTTGGCTGCTTGTTTTTTTCTTCCCTCATTTTTTCCTGTCTCCATTATTAAGCACAATTATTGGTATAAAAGAGGTTTTCAATACCCATTTTTAGACTGCATTCTAGCCTGGGCAATAAAGCAACACTTTGGTTCTCTCTCCCTCTTCCTCTTTCTTCCTCTCCTTCATTCTTTTTTTTTTTTTTTTTTTTTTTTTTTAAAAAAAAAAAAAAAAAAAAAAAATCCTATAATTGAGACCATCCTTTCCTGGAATATATACTGACCCAGCTCATCCTTAGAAACTCTTTGCTGGAATTTACTTCCTGGAAGCTGGGCCTCTGAGTTGTCTTCCAAGACCATCTGTTTCCAGCTTTCTCTACTGCAAGCATTAGCTGAGTCTAATTTAAATAATAGATATTTTAAAATATATTTTAAAGTTTATGTAGGAAAAAAATGTAAGACCTCCAATATATGGTGGTAAGGGTCTGCTTACTTGTGTTAAGAAAAGTACTTGAAGTGCTTTCTCTCCCTCCACTGATCCAGGACTCCAAATCTAATAGTCCACCTGGCCCTTGAAGGATGTAAACCCAGACATGCTAGTGAACAGGCCTGATGAAAACAGTTTTCTGTATTCTTTTCTGCATTGTGTTTGAAGCTGACAAATTCCACTGAGGAAGCAGGAGTAAAGAGTCCCTCTATTCTTCCTGTCCTAATGACGTGTACTAAAACTGGAAGAGTAAGGTCAGGATTAGCCTGGCACTTGTCCATAGATATCGAGCAAATCTGGAAAGCAATGTGTTATTTTTTTTCCACAGTCTCTGAGGTCTTTCCCTCCCTGATCCTGTGTTGCTTCTACCTCAACTTGGCTGTCTTCCCTATTTGCCTCCTAGACTGAAGGAAGCTCAAGAAGTCACCTCCTTAGTTTGTACACTTCTTGCAGTATCTGCTCAAAACAGCAGCATCCATTTCACAAGGACAGTGACATTCCAGGTTAGAGGGTCATGGCCCAGGGGTGCCCCAGCCAAAGCCAAGTACATCCAAGGAAGATACTAGCAATTCCAAGAGTCCCAATGGTCTCAGCTGAGTAGTGGGAACCATCTCCATTTACACACAGGACTGTGGGCACAGGACACTGCCCAATGTCCTTTCTTGCAGACTGATGCCTCCTTTCAGAGAGGCCAAGCTTCATGACCAAGTACTCAGCACCTAGGGCCTCATCTCAAGCCCCTTGAACCCACCCAGCCCCCGCCCTCCTGAAGTATCTAACCCTGCTGGCCACTGCCGTATCTCACATTAACCTCCTTCCTCCCAACATTCCTTATGCACCATAATTCCCCTCTGGCAGTTCCTTGTTTCTTTCAAGGCTTCCACTTCATCTTCCTAACATACCTAAACACAAGCCTTCATTCCGTGAACCAGGAACGCACCTCCAGCCCCAAAAGATTCCCTCCACACCCATCTGGAGCTTCAATGTCTCACCCTACCCAGGAAAACTTCTCAATCTTATCTGAATGCCCACATCTTGGATGACTCTAAAGAAAGACTGTAAGTTCCACATGTACAATTGTATCTTGTATTCTAGGTTTGAAATCTTGGAGCCAATTCTTCAAAACATACTTCTAATTTTCTTAACATTATAAAATTCCTAAATGCTTTTATTAAAGTGACAGGAGAGGGTAGGGGATGTCTCCCCATGCTGCCCAGGCTGGTCTCGAACTCCTGGGCTCAAGAGATCTCCCACCTCGGCTGCAATTACAGGCATGAGCCACCATGCGTGGCCCTAAATGCTTACCGTAGAAATATTTGAAAACACAAGCAGCCGGGCATGGTGGCTCATACCTGTAATCCCAGCACTTTGGGAGGCTGAGGCGGGCGGATCACCTGAGGTTGGGAGTTCGAGACCAGCCTGACCAACATGGAGAAACTCCATCTCTACTAAAATAAAAAATAAAAAAAACTAGTCAGGTGTGGTGGCCCATGCCTGTAATCCCAGCTACTCAGGAGACTGAAGCAGAACCACTTGAGCCTGGGAGGCAGAGGTTGTGGTGAGCCGAGATTGTACCACTACACTCTAGCTTGGGCAACAAGAGCAAAACTGTCTCAAAAAAGAAAAATTTTTTAAAAAAGCAAAAATATGCAAACACTCACTCACAATCCCACCCTAAAAACACTTCATCTGGGAAAATCCTTCTGGTTTTCTATTGCAAATCCATTTCATGTTCTTTCCAAACATGAGACTATATAGTTCTATAACCTACATTCTTTGTGTAAAAATGTAACACACACCTATTAAAGACACTTAAAATTACTGAAATAGATCAAGTTTACAGATGAATGCACTACCGAGTCAGATCAAAAAACAACCATCACCAAGCCCCTGAAGCCTGCCTCACATCATCCTGTCACTACTCCAGTAAGATCAACTACTATCCCAACTTCTAAAGCATGGTATTGAGCTGGAACCACACTTACTTCTTCCCTCTTCCTGCATGTACCAAAACCGGCCATTTTCCCCTTCATTTGGCTGCTCCCTCAAAGATGGACTAAAGTCCCACTACCTCTAACATCCCCCAACCCCCCTATACCCCCCAAAACGGCTCCCACTACCCTACAATAGAACCCTGATCTCTCAGCCCCCCATTTTTTAATGGAGACAGGGTATCACTTTATCACCCAGGCTGGAGTTGCAGTGCTGCAATCTCAGCTCACTGCAGCTTTGACCCCCTGGGCTCAAGGGATCCTCCCAGCTCAGCCCCCGCAAGTAGCTGGGATCACAGGTGCGTATCACTGTACCCAGCTATCTCAGCGCTTTCTACCACATCTAACAATTCCCATACCCCGTACAGAAACCACTTAGATGCTCAAGAGGAAGTCAAACCTATTAGAGACACGTTTCTTAGACACGTGGCTACAATAGGCCCTGTTGGTAGGCCCTGGAAGGGAAGCTGCTCCTTGTACAGTCAGAGGACTAGGACTGTGTAAGTGGCATGACCCAGGTAACAAAACCTCTGGCCCCTCCTCATCTATACCCATGCCTTGTCCAATTAAGGTCTTTTTCACTGGCTTCATGCCCTTTCAACACCCATTGCCACCGCACATACACACCAGCACACATTCCACGCAGCCACACCACATATTCCGTGGCGGCACTGTTACAGCACACTCTGGGCCATGCTGTACTTTGGGAAGGTATCAGTCCTAGCACTTACCTTTATGCCATAACCCCCACCTTCTGCTAACAAAACCCTCAAAGTAAGGCCCAGTCACAGGAGCAAGACAAGGATTCCTACACATCAAAGGGACTGGGCCAATACTCGACTGCAGAATAAGTACAGAAAAATTAGGCAACTTCAATGGAGGTCTTCAACAGACGTTAAGTGAAATTTAGGGTTCCTACTCCTAAAGTTTTTACTGAAAAAACATCCCGCAACACACACACACACACACACACACACACACACACACACACACACAACACACACACGCAGCAGCAGCCTTCATTATGGAATTAAGGAAACCATTCAAGTGTAAGACAGGTTTCTTTTATTAGTTTTTCCTAAACTTGTCTCATTTACTGAATGATTTTCTTAGTGTAAGAACGTGACCTGGAGCTTTAACAAATCAGTTTGGATAACGCAACCTGGATAAATGCTTGTCTGTACACAAGCCATAAATTACCACTCTCTGGCCTGGCCTCTATGTAAATCCAATTGGTCTTATAGCCTGTCTAAGCAGAGAGCTAGCAGACCACATCATCTTGTTTCTAGTTTTAACTTCAAATTCACCCCCATCCCAACACCCACACCCTTCCACACACACACACACATGCACATACCAAAAAAAAAATTTTTTTTTTTTTAAGAAGAAATGGCCATTAGGATTGGGCCAGTTGTACAAGGGTTGGCTTAATCCTGCAGCCAGCACTTTAAAATAGCCATTGGCTTCACAGCAGGCCAGCTTGAACTCTCGAAGCATGACGTGTAGAGAACAGAGGATGCGCTAAGAACAGGGCCTTGTTGTGGTGCCACAAGGCCTCCGTGCATGCTTACACACCAACATAAGCATGCTTTTCCCTTCCTCCTCCTAAGCAATTGTTCTCCATAGCACTTTAGAGCCTGTAACACTCTAAAACTTTTCAATGTATCTCGTGATGGACAGAAGCTTAATTCTAACTATACAAGATATCATCTTATTTCTAACAACATAGGCCAAAAGTAACAGAGGCACTCTGTTATACAGAATATCAATTTTTACAAAGATCCAAAACATTACCAACAAGCCTTGTAACAGTTTCTTAAAGCAGGTACCAGCTCTGGCCTGGAACACAGGCTTTCCTTGGATTTTTCAAAATGCCTCACTCCTATCAACACTGCCCCAAAAAGCAGTCAGAGGAATGCTTTGGTATACCCGACACTGGCCACACAGTTAAGAATAAAGTGTTGTTATAACATCAGGCACCACACTTCTTGAACACTAATTTCAGACTCGTCCAGTACAATCCAGTGTATCTTCGTTTTTTTGTATCATCTGTCAGCTGCTTACCATGTACAAATTGGCAGGTTCATGACAGACAGTAATACTTAACACACAAGTGATTTGTGAATGAGCTAAAAAGAACTTTTAACTCTTGTCCTAGCAGTTCAAGCTATACCTCAAAAATTTATACAGAACATCTCACACCTGAATAAACAGGCCAGGATCCAAATCTTTACACCAAAATTAACAAGGATGTAATTCCTCAGTTAAATTTACCATGGCTATCATATCCAACAGTACATCTACCCAATTCTAATCTTTTGAAGATAAAATTATTTAGACCTTGACGCTTGGGGTATTCGTGAATACACTTTCAGGAAGAGGCTCCAGGTTTAAAACCCTCAGCTAAGAGGGTTTTATTGCTCTAAGCAAGAGGGTCTATTTTCCAGAGAGCAGTACATGGCATTTACAATGGGAGCCCTTTTATCGGGAGAGGGGGAAGAGAACACAGGTGAGGGTGGAGGTGAAATAAGAAGCTCAGAGCACACCCTTGTTCTTCTGCTGTTAATCCATGCCATGCCATGCTCCAACCCTCACAAAGAGGGAGACCCCATCCCCACACCAGGCAGGGAGACTTTGGAGCAATCTCCACAACAGATTTTTAAAGCATAATTAGAGCTCCTGCCATGTAAGTCATAATGAAAAGTCTGCTGGATAGCTAGAGCTGTAGCTTTTGCTCAACTTTCCAAAACAAACTTATTCTTGTAGACACATGGTTAAACATAAAGGAGTGAAGCATAAGCTCAGTAAGACTAACTGGGCTTCTAAATAGTACCATTATGAAAAAGATACAATGCACTTAATTTCTGTATCTAACTATTTAGAAGTCAAAATGCTCCATACATTACCTATTTCCCCTTCCCCAAAATCCCCTAAAAACTGACTAAGAAATCTTCAGTATTCACTTGCTCTAGTTGATACTTAGAACAAAGTTGACAACTTAAAGCTTTATAATAGTCTGTTTTAATAGAAACATGTGTTGGAATCAATCAATGTCCATTTCAGGAAGCTTCTTGTCTGAATCCGAAGGCACAGCTGTGTCTGTACCCTGCTCAGCAGCCTGGGGGCCCGGGTTGTCTCCTTGTCCATCCACTGGTCCATTCTGCTCTGCATTTTTTTGTTCCTCTTTTGGAGGTTCCACTTTGGGTTTGGGCTTTGAGATTATAGGGCTACAAGTACTTGTCAGCTCCTGGAATGGGTAAGAGAGAAAACTGTGGTTTCTTTAAAAATTAACAAATTTTACAAGACAGGCTAAACCCAAATCCATCCTCTCCCTCCACCCAACCCTCAACCTAGAAGCTAAGACACTGTAATAAAGTTCGCTCCTAAATGTAACTTGAGGACTATTAATAATAATGCTGTCAAGAACAGACTATTAAATAAAGTCTTAAATTACCCTAATTTTAGCTTCAATCTCTTTTGACTTGACAACTGGATCCATGGTCAAACTCTGCTTGTTCTGCAGATTTAGCTTGTTATTCATCCACTCCATTGCCTCATTTGTGCTTTTTTCTACCTTCACCATGTCAGCAGCATCCAAATGATCATACTGGTCCTCCTGCAACCAGGAGACAGACAGACAAGTGTTAAAAGGATTATGCCCTCCCTCCCCAAATATTGTCTAGTTTCTGCCATTTTTCAAAAACTTATAACCTTTCAAACAATAAAGCATATTTAGCCTCACAATCTGAATAGAAATTAAATATTCAAAAGAAACCTAATCCCAGTGTTTTAATACGCTCAGATCAGATTTACATTTTAAAGGCCGAGAAAACTCATAAGGTGTCAATTAAAAGGCTTCAACAAGATAAATAGCAGCACCTGATTTATACAAAATCTTATGTACATAATTTCACAATGCAAAAAAATTACATTAGATATGAGAGTTGAGGATTCAGCATGCTAGTTCAGAACCAAAACTATAATGAATACTATTTTTAAAAGAAGCTCTTTCAGGCTGGGTGTGGTGGCTCACACTTGTATTAGCATTTTGGGAGGCTGAGGCAGGAGGATCACTTAAGCCCACGACTTTGTAAGACCTGGGCAACATGATGAGCCCATCTCTACAAAAAGTCTAAAAATTAGACAGGCGTGGGAGCCATGCGCCTGTAGTCCCAGCTACTCAGGAGGCTGACAAGCAGGAGGATCACTTGAGCCCAGGAGGTTAAGGATGCAGTGAGCTATAATCATACCACCACACTCCAGGGTAGGCAACAGACTGAGACCCTGTCTCACAACAAAAGGAGGAGGAGGGAAAAAAAAAGGTGGGGCCAGATGGCTAATTCCTGTAATCCTAGCACTTTGGGAGGTCAAGGTGGGTGGATCACTTAGCTCAGCAGTTCAAGATCAGCTTGGGTAACATGGTAAAACCCCCATCTTAAAAAAAAAAAAAAAGACAACCCTCGTTGAGTATAGTGGTGCATGCCTGTAGTCCCAGCTACTTGGGAAGGCGGAGGCAGGGGAACTGCTTGAGCCAGAGAGATTGAGAGTGCAGTGAGCCGAGATTTCGCCACTGCACACCAGCCTGGGTAACAAAATGAGAGCTTGTCCCAAAAAANAACAACAACAACAACAACAAAAGCTCATTTATCACTCAAAGTTTCTTGCAATGAAAATACGTCAAGAACCTGGGGTAAATGGAGGAACTTTATACTCCAAAGTCTGAACTTTAGAGTCAGACTTCTGGCTAAATGACAGGTCTCCCAATTTAGTGACCCTGAATGTAGTTTAAGGGAAGTGAGGCTTAAATAAGTTGGAATTTATCTATAAATGCTGATACCACCACCTACTTTATCAGAGTACTGTGTGGATTCAGTAAGATATTTATGGAGTATCACACAGTGCTCAAAAACAGTTTACCATTGAGATAGACAGTCCTATATCTCCATAACAAGACAAATTACTGGCCTCAGGTGTTTTTAGAAAGACCAGTATAGAGTATGTTAAGTCAGACATTAACGAAAAGGAAACTAAAAAACACTGCTCAATTACAGATTCCACCTATTAAAGAGATGCAGCAAATCCAATGGTTATTAAGATGCTATAAAACATTACACATTATATTAACATGCAAAATAAAAAGTACTACTTAACATGCAAAATAAAAAGTACTACTAAACAAGTTAATGAAAACAAGAGAAAAAAAATGCTATGTAAAGCCTCAAAAGTTAACTTTATAGCCGGGTGCAGTGGCTCATGCCTATAATACCAGCCAGCACTTTAGGAGCCCGAGGCTAGCAGATCACTTGGGTTCGAGACCAGCCTGGCCAACCTGGAGAAACCCCATTTCTACTAAAAATACGAAAATAAGCTGGGAGTGGTGGCACACGCCTGTAATCCCAGCTACTCAGAAGACTGTGGCAGGACAATCGATTGAACCCGGGATGTAGAAGTTTGCAGTGAGCCGAGATTGCATCACTACACTCCAGCCTGTGCAACAGAGCGAGACTCTGTCTCAGGAAAAAAAGTTAATTTTACTAAAGTAAGAGTAGGAAAAAGAAAATAAGTTACCTTGTTTTTGAAAGCGCTGATTATCTTCATATACTGCTGGATCTGTTTCCCTAGTTCTTCAAATAATTTTGGTCGTTCTTCAGATTCTTGGAATCGCGTCTTAATAGGTTGACCTAGATTCTTAACAGACGAACACACAAATTCTTCATATGGCAGTTCAACTATCCAGAGCTGTACTGTTTCTACTAAGATTGGTTATAAAGCATACTTAATCTACATGTGCTATATATAATAAGAAGTCAGATATACTCCTCCAGCCCACTGGAAACAAGAAGCTACTTGAGAAGGGGTATGAGACTATATCTCAACACGGTTCCATGTGGAGTCACTTCAATTTGTCACCTGAGCCCTCATTCTCAAAACACAGCAGGGAGACCACCAAAAATTAGGTGCCACCTAAAAGGTACACAGCACTAAATATAAAGTATACTTGCCAAAAATAAAAAATGCTTTTGATTTAAAATCTTTAAAAAAAACAAAAACAAAAAACAAACAAAAAAACACCTGAATCTGATGGAACCTCTAGATGTAACGATCAACTTTTTGTTAAACACTACCATGGAGGTGAAAATCAGCAAAATCCTAGTATGGTAAAATCCTACAGAACCAATAATCCAATTTCCTTATCAAATGAATAAGGAAAAGGTGAGGGGGACACAGGAATAAGAGACATCAATAAAATCTATGACCCTTACATGGATACTGATTTGAACAGAAAAAAATCATTTATAAAATAACTGGAACTTGAAAAGTTAATACAACAGTGATATTAAGAAATGTTTGGGCCAGGTGCGATGGCTCACACCTGTAATCCCAGGGCTTTAGGAGGCTGAGGCAGATGATTACTTGAGGTTGGGAGTTCAAGACCAGCCTGACCAACATGGAAAAACTTGTCTCTACTAAAAATACAAAAAACTAGCCAAGTGTGGTGGCAGGCGCCTGTAATCCCAGCTACTCGGGAGGCTCAGGCAGGAGATTTGCGTGAACCCAGAAGGCGAAGGTTGTAGTGAGCCAAGATATCGCCATTGCACTCCAGCCCAGGCAACAAGAACAAAACTCCGTCTCAAAAAACAAAAAAAAAAAGAAAAAAGAAATGTTTGGTCAGGTGCGGTGGCACACACCTGTAATCCCAGCATTTTGGGAGACCAAGGTAGAACTTCTTGAGTACAGGAGTTCCAACACCAGCCTGGACAACACAGGGAGACCCCTTTCCCTACAAAAAATTAAAACAGCCAGGCATGATGGCACACAACTGTAGTCCCAGCTACTTGGGAGACTGAGGCAGAAGGAACCCCTGAGCCTGGGAGGTCAAGGCTGCTGTGAGTTGTGATCACACCACCGCACTCCAGCCTGGGTGACCAAGTGAGACTTGAAATGGCCCAGTTCTATAAGAAACCAAGTAATCCTGAGCTAAAATTAAACGGAAATGTGAAAAGTTCATTCTTATACGTCTGCATCCTTTTCCAAACAAAAGGCCTCAATTTTATATAATTCTTTACGTTTTTAATCCTAATGTTAAAAGATCAGATTTGGGGCATAAATAAATAAGATCAGAATATTTAAATCCAGATGCTTTGGCCAGGCAGAGTAGTTCACACCTATAATCCCAGCACTCTGGGAGGCCGAGGCATGCAGATCACCTGAGGTCAAGAGTTCAAGGCGAACCTGGCCAACATGGTGAAACCCGGTCTCTACTAAAAATACAAAAATTAGCTGGGCATGGTGGCGTGTGCCTGTAATCTCAGCTACTCTGCAGGGTGAAGCATGAGAATCGCTTGAACTCGGAAAGCAGAGATTGCAGTGAGCCAAGACTAGGCCACTGCACTCCAAGCTGGGTGACAAAAAAAAATTTTTTCTAAAAAAAAAAAAAAAAAAAAAAAAAAAACAGATTCTTTGCTTTTATTGAGAATAGAATACAAACTCATAAACAGAAACAGCTCTGCCCCAACTGCACTGCCCATGCCTTTAAGGCAGGTACTAAGTCTTGCAAGGCTTTGTATCTCAACACCAAGAATGCACTAAATGCCCAAATCAGTGAAGCATTACAAACCTAAACTCAGTTTTCGGAAAAATCATTGTTATTACAAGATTCTAAAAGTGAGAATGATAATAAGTCTAAGTCATAAAAGGTTCAGTTTATCAAACATTATTTTCAGTCTGTCTTCTGTACTTGAGAATTCCTCCCAACTTTGAGCTCCTCAGAGAAAGCTTCAACAAGGGTTCTGGATACCTCTGCTCTCAAGAGTCACTTACTTTTAATTCAGCCAGCTTATCAACATAAACTTGCTTTGGCTGGTCTTCTCCATCCTCATACAACCAACTTTCAGTATCTTCTAGTTTTAAAGTAAAACTGTTACGATCCTAATGAAAAAGAAAATATTATAATTAGGTCAATCAAAAATCAGTTACATCCCCAATGCAGTCACAGGCACAGAATACAATGATGTGTATCTGGGATTTGCTTTAAAATACAGAGGGCAGCCAGGCATGGTGGCTCATGCCTATAATCCCAGCACTTTGGGAGGCCGAGGCAGGTGGATCACCTGAGGTCAGGAGTTGGAGAACAGCCTGGCCAACATGGTGAAACCCCATCTCCACTAAAAATACAAAAAAAAAAATTAGCCAGGCATGGTGGCAGACACCTGTAACCTCAGCTACTAGAAAGGCTGAGACAGGAGAATCACTTGAACCTGGCAGGTGGAGGCTGCAGTGACCCAAGATGGAGCCACTGCAGTCCAGCCTGGGTGACAGAACAAGACTCCATTTAAAAAAAAAAATAAGATAAAATACAAGGGGAGTAGGGAGATTGGAGATACAGAAAACAAGGCTGGAAAATGTTGTTCCACTTGATAGGTATGGGGGGGTTTTATTATATTATTCTCCCTGCCGTGGAGGACTTTATGTTCAAAAATTTCAGAATTAAAAACAGCATTTAAAAGCAAGTGCGGACCAGGCACGGTGGCTCAAGCCTGTAATCCCAGCACTTTGGAAAGCCAAGGTGGGCAGATCACCTGATGTCAAGAGTTCATTCGAGACCAGCCTAACCAACATGGAAAAACACTGTCTCTACTAAAAATACAAAATTAGCCGGGCGTGGTGGTACATGCCTGTAATCCCAGCTACTTGGAAGGCTGAGGCAGGAGAACCCCTTGAACCTGGGAGGTGGAGGCTGCAGTGAGCTAAGATTGTGCCACTGCACTCCAGCCTGGGCAACAAGAGCAAAACTCCCTCTCAAAAAAAAAAAAAAAAAAAAAAGTGTGCACTTGGTCACGGTAGCTCACATGTGTAATCCCAGCACTTGAGGAGGTTGAGGTGGGTGGATCACCTGAGATCAGGAGTTCAAGACTAGCCTGGCCAACACAGTGAAACCCCATCTATCTAAATACACAAAAATTAGCCGAGTATGGTGAAGCATGCCTATAGTCCCAGCTACTCAGGAAGCTGAGGCAGGACATCACTTGAATCATGGAGGCGGAGGTTGCAGTGAGCCGAGATCATGCTACTGCACTCCAGCCTGGGCAACAAGAGCAAAACTCCGTCTCCAAAAAATAAATAAATACAGGTGAATTAAGTACCCATCAACCAATGAGTGGATAAAGAAAACATGGTATATACACACGATGGAACACTACTGAGTCATAAAAAAGAACAAAATAATGTCTTTTGCAGCAACTGCATGGAGCTGGAGGCCACTATTCTAAGTGAAGTAACTTGGAACTAGAAAACCAAATACTGTATGTTCTGTCTTATAAGCAGAAGCTAAGGTATGGGTACGCAGGGGCATACACAGTAATGTAATAGACTTTGGATCCAGACTCAGAAACAGGAGGACAGAAGAGGGGTGTGGGATTAAAAAAAACTATCTTGGCCAGGCGAGGTGGCTCATGCCTGTAATCCCAGCACTTTGGGAGGCTAAGGCAGGCAGATCATGAGGTCAGGAGATTTGAGACCATCCTGGCCAACATGATGAAACCCCATCTCTACTAAAAATACAAAAATTAGCTGAGCATGGTGGTATGCGCCTGAAGTCCCAGCTTCTCGGGAGGCTGAGGCAGGAGAATCACTTGAACCGGGGAGATGGAGGTTGCAGTGAGCTGAGATCTCGCCACTGCACTCCAGCCTGGTGATAAAACAAGACTCCATCAAAAAAAAAAAAAAAAAAAGATGTTGGGTATGACATACAGGACATGGGGACAGGTGCACCAAAATCTCAGAATTCACCACTATATAATTCATCCATCTAACCAAAAACTACTTGTACCCAAAAGCTACTTAAATTTTTTTTTTAATCAAAAATTATGAGTTACAATTAACAGGGAAAAGTGAGCTTTCATAATTTAAAGAAAAATACAAGGAAAGTAACAGCACTCAAATGTGTCAAAAGTGATTTGTGAACATGATACACAAAGACTAAGCTGTGCAAAACACTGTACTGATAGAGAAATGTATAAAATTGTGACCCCTACCAAAAAAAACATTTTTAATAATTTTACTATACACATATAGATGCAGATTTCCCTTCTAACCCATTTAAAGATGTTCCCAGAAGACACACAGTAGTTAAGCGTATTGCAGCAGACACTTACATCTTCACTCACAAACTTCTCATATTCACCACTAAGTTTATCTCTCATTTCATACACATATTCCTCTACAGCATTCTTAGCATCATTCCGCTCCTTCTCCAGTTTATCTTGCATGATCATCTTACCCTGAGAATAAACATTATGTACAAATTAATTAGACATCAGGACAACTGAGATCATTTCCTCTTAAATACTCATATAATTATAAAAGTAGAGACTCTTTCTTCCCCAAATCTTTTTAGTTCTGCAAGTCACAAAACAAAGGCAAGTGGGGAGACTAATCTCAACAAACTTTGAATATCAAAGAGTTTTGCAGGTGAGATTTATAAAAACAATAGAAATATCAAGGTGTAGATAGATACTCAAAAGCAAAATTAAATAATTTAAGACAAGAGAACTTTAAAAAACTATTGGTTCAATGTCACTGATATCCTCTGCTGAATTATTATGAGATATGAAGAAAAATCAAATTCACTCATGCAGTATAAATGCTGAAGTTTCTGTAAGACAGAACTATTCTAAGATCCAGTGGAAACCTAGTAAGAAACCTCATGGACAAAAATTAATTCAATAAATGTGCTCACAGATCCCAAATCATGCTTCACTCAGTAAGTTACTATATCTGCTTACTGACTGGCAACGGAAAAGGAATAAGCAAAATACTGCTACCGTTAATGCTATATGATTTCTCCTACTGATCAACTTCCAGGACCACCACCTCAAATATCCCAATCTCTAGTGAACAAATATACCCACATATTCAAAAATTAACAACACCTCCCCTACACTAAAGACATTATATGTCAAAAATTTCGTTAACAGAGCTTCTAGCAATACATATTAGTACCAATGTAAAAGAACTGACATACCATGGGATCTACTGCTTCAACTTGCCCTTACAATACCACACAAAAGTCTAAATTATTTTCCCCAAGTCCAAACAATCAAAAATGCATAAAGTTACTAGACACAGAGTCTGAATGCCATGGTAACATTAATTTGTTAGCTCACTGTTCCAAAAGACTTTAAGTAACAACCTCATTTTCAATGTACAAGTTGAGCATCTCTCTGTCTATCTGCCATAATAGCTGATTCTCAATTGGCAGGTCCACAGTACTAGTCTTCACTTTTGCCTTCTTGGCTTGGGGTGGTTGGTCCATCTTTTTGTCCTTTGATCCAGCTTGAGAGGTCTAAAACAACAGAAATCATTAAAAACAAACATATATACAGACTACCTTAAACTTCAAAATGGGTCATGTTTGAAAAGCTGCTTTTACTTTTTTACTTTGTTCTTTGATGATGACCTAAGTAACTTTGGACTACCATAACATCTAAGAAAATTAAAAAATAAGTAAATAATGTTATGAGGTGTCTAGAGTCAAATTCATAAAAATGGAAGCAGATGGTGGCTGTCAGGGGTTGGGGAAGGGAATAATGGAAAGTTATTTAATGGGTATGTAGTTTCAGTTCTGCAAGATGAAGTTCTGAGGATTAGTTACACCACAATGTCTATACACTTAAAAACGGTTAAGATGTGGGAGGCCGAGGCGGGTGGATCGCCCGAGGTTCGGAGTTCGAGACCAGCCTGACCAACATGGAGAAACCCTGTCTCTTTTGGAGGGAAAAAAAAAAAACAAAACGGTTAAGATGGTAAATTTTATAAAATACTAACAATCTCCCATAATCCCTTATCAACATATAATCACTATTAAAAATTGTTCTCCTACTTTTATTTAAACATATAGACATGCAAATGAAGTTAGTGGAGAGGAGGGTATGAAATTTTTACTGATCAGCCAGGTGCCTATAATCTCAGCACTTTGGGAGGCTGAGGCAGGTGGATCACCTGAGGTCAGGAGTTTTGAGACCGGCCGGGCCAATATGGTGAAACCCTGTCTCTACTAAAAACACCAAAAATCAGCCGGGTTTAGTGGTGGGCACCTGTAATCTCAGCTACTCAGGAGGCTGAGACAGGAGAACTGCTTGAACCCAGAAGTGGATGCTGCAGTGAGCCAAGATCACACCATTGTACTCCAACCTGGGCAACAACAGCAAAACTCCGTCTCAAAAAAAGAAAAGGAAATTTTTATGGATCAGCAACATATTGGTAATGTGATTTCCATAATGTCTACAACTATTTACATTCTCACAAGGAGAAGCCTCATTCTACTACAACCAATCCACAAATGAGAATTCATTTAATGTTATCTCACTGTTATTTCAGTATGAGTTTCTTTTAACCTTTTTCAGACACTTACAAACCATACTTAACTACTTCCTCAAACTGCCTAGTAATATTTTATCCACTGTTTTCTTAGGATTGCAGTGATTTTTCCACTTAAACAATTGACTCTTCCAGTGTTTTCTGACTGTACTGTTTGTCTATATATAAGTTTTTACTGTCAAATGTATCCATCTTTTGAGATTACTTATTTGTTTTCATACTTTGAAAGCCCTTCCTCATCCACTGATTAGAAAAATATTCACTTCAACCTTTTTCCTTTTCAACTTTCAACTTTGGAATTCGTCTGGAATTCAATTTGTTCTATGATGAAGTAATACTTTAATGTCATTTCCCCACCTCCTATCTAACTTAAGTCAGCTCCTGAAATTTATCTATCATTTCTATTTCATTTGCCTTAGAAGCAATAGTATGAAAAAGGCACTTTAGTTTTTGAGCCATCCCAAGGAAGCCTAGATAACTAATACCTCTAGAACTTCCCACAGCTCAAGGGCATTGGAGAGGGGCTGTCACTTCTCCCTTCTCTTCATCCATCTTCCACAAACACATAAGAGAACAAGTACTTGTCTCTGCCACTGTTGGCCCCATCCCACCCAACAACATAAAGAGTTTTCCATCTTGAAAAAGGACTGACCCAACTAAAGAATCTGTAAGCACAATTTCCTGTCCATTTTCTTAATATTACTTGCACAGCTAAAGGAAAGCACTTTATTTTGTTAACTGACATAAAAATATAACAGACTTAAGCCACTTTAAGGTTCTGTCAAACTTTTTCTTTTTTTTTTTTTTTTTTTTTTTTTTTTTTTGAGACAGAGTCTCGCTATCTGTAGCCCAGGCTAGAGTGCAGTGGTATGATCTCAGCTCACTGCAACCTCTGCTTCCAGCTCCTGGTTCAAGCAATTCTCCTGCCTCAGCCTCCCAGGTAGCTGGGATCACAGACGCACACCACCATGCCCAGCTTATTTTTGTACTTTTAGTAGAGACTGGGTTTCACCATGTTGGCTAGGCTGGTCTTGAACTCCTGACCTCGTGATCCGCCCACCTCAGCCTCCCAAAGTGCTGGAATTACAGATATGAGCCACTGTACCCAGCCTCTATCAAACTTTTTTAAATACCACTTTTAAATAAGAAATTTTTTTTAAATTAGAAACTTTTTTAAATTAGAAACTCCTAAGATGGTGAGATTATACACTGCAATTTTATAACTAAAAAAGTATTTTCAATGCTAAAAAAAATTTAAACATCACAATTCAAAATTAAAGAATTAGGTTGTAAAGAATTCAAAAATGTTACTACTTATTTTGAAATAAATACATTATTTACATTACTCACGAAATATATTTAAATCCATTATTCCAATATTTGAAATAACTTTTTTTTAAGATGGAGTTTCGCTCTGTTACTCAGACTGGAGTACAGTAGCACAACCTCAGCTCACATAACCTCTGCCTCCCAGGTTCAAGAGACTCTCATGTCTCAGCCTCCCGGGTAGCTGGGACTATAGCAGCAAACCACCCCACCTGGATAATTTTTGTTATTTTTAGTAGATAATGGGTTTCATTCACCATACTGGCCAGGCTGGTCTCAAACTCCTGACCCCCAAGTGATCCACCCACTTCGGCCTGCCAAACTGCTGGGATTACAGGTGTGAACCACCATGCCAGGCCTCATGCCTTTTTATTAAAAAGATGTTATTTTGGATGGGTTCGGTGGCTTACACCTATAATCCCAGCACTTTGGGAGGCCGAGGCAGGTAGATTCACTTGGGGTTAGGAGTTCAAGACCAGCCTTGGCAACATGATAAAACTTTGTCTCTACTAAAAATACAAATATTATCTAGGCCTGGTGGTATACGCCTGTAGTCCCAGCTACCTGTGAGGCTGAGGCATGAGAATCACTTGAACCAGGAGGCAGGCAGGGGCTACAGTGAGTCAAGATCATGCCACTGTACTCCAGCTTGGGCAACAGTCAGAGTCCGTCTCAAAAAAAATAAATGAGTAAAAAATAGGCGGGGCACGGTGGCTCAAGCCTGTAATCCCAGCACTTTGGGAGGCTGAGGCGGGCAGATCATCAGGTCAAGAGATAGAGACCATCCTGGCAAACATGGTGAAACCCCATCTCCACTAAAAAAACAAAAATTAGCTAGGTATGGTGGCACATGCCTGTGGTCCCAGCTACTAGGGGGCTAAAGCAGGAGAATCGCTTGAACCCGGGAGGCAGAGGTTGCAATGAGCCGAGATAGCGCCACTGCACTCCAGCCTGGTGACAGACCAAGATTCCATCTCAGAAAAATAAAAACAAAAAGGCATGGATCAGGACACTGAAAATTTTTGAAAAAAATTTCAGTTCCATTATTGTTTATCAATAATGAATAAATTATGGGTAGAATGACTAAGTATAAGCCATTCGAAAACTAGCATAAATAAATCACTAGCCTAGTAAAACTGGGATTCCTGGGTGCTTTCTTCCCATGCATCAACCAGAAGAGAGTTTAAAGGCCATGTTGTAAATGGCACATGACAAACCACTACAAAATCTTGCTTTAAAAAAAAAAAAAAAAAAAAAAAAAAAAAAAAAAAAAAAAAAAAATTAAATTTAAAAAAAAAAAAAAAAAAAAAAAAAACAGTTAAAATAAATTAAGCGCTTCTAGTATAACTTCAAGACACTGCCCTTCAGCCAAAACTACATACTTTAAAAAGACTGCAATGCATACTCTAAAACACAACTCAGCTGGGTGTGGTGGCTAATCCCAGCACTTTAGGAGGCCAAAGCAGGTGGATCACCTGTGGTCAGGAATTCGAGACTAGACTGACCAACATAGTGAAACCCCACCTGTACTAAAAAATACAAAAAAATTAGCTGGGCGTGGTGGCAGGCATCCGTAATCCAGCAGAGGTAGGAGAATCACTTGAACCCAGGAGGCAGAGGTTGCAATGAGCCGAGATCACGCCATTGCACTCCAGCCTGGGTAACAGAGCAAGACTCTTGTCTCAAA